CACTGGCCACATCTCAAGTGCTCACTGACACGTGTAGCTGTCAACGTGGCCACCATGTTGGATGGCACAGATTTAGAATGTCTCCATCGTGGCAGAAAGTTCCACTGGGAGATGCCGTTCTAGACAGTCCCATGCACGCATCTTTTAGGCCTCTTAATATAGTTTAACCATATTGGGAGGAGCCCTGGTGGTGCAACAGTTAAGTGCTCGATTGCTAGCTGAAAGATCGGTGGTTCAAACCCACCAGTGGCTCCACAGAAGAAAAGACCTGGTGGTCTGTTCCCATGAAGATCACAGCCTAGGAAGCCCTATGGGGCAGTTCAACTCTGTCACGTGGGGTTGCTGTGAGTTGGAATCGACAACACCCAGCGACAATCACACTGTGCACATAACTTGCTAGCTTCGTTTTTTCTTGATACACTATCAATATGTCCATGTTGCAGCCCAGTCTTTATAAACACTCCATACTCTTCCACCTGGTAGTAGAGGTTCTGAATCTTTTGGGGGTCACAGACCCTTTAGGGAGTCGAATGGTGCCCCCTCTTCGGACAATGCACACCCCTGAGCACACACACGCAAAGTGGTATCAGTCTTCAGGAGTTCACGAACCCCAGTTAAAACCCCTTGATCTCGGAGATGAATCTTTATTGATGTACCTACTTCTCTGTTGTCAGGAGTCCCTGGGTGGTGCAAATGGTTAAGGCACTCAACTACTAGCTGTAAAGCCTGTTGATCCAAACCCACCCAGAGGCGTCTCAGAAGAAAGGTCTGGCAATCTGCTTCTGAAAGGTCACAGCCTTGAAAACCCCAAGGATGCAATTGTACTCTGTAGCACACAAGGTTGCCATGAGTTGGAATCAACTCAATGACAACTGGTTTTCTACCGTCAGATATTTAGCTTCTTTGCCCTTTTACCCCCATTATAAAGAATACCCGGATGAACATCTTCACTCAAATGTTTTTTCCCCGCCTCGTAATGTGGATGATTTATTAGGATGCGTTCCAGAGGAGACATGTCGACCTAGAGAGCAGAAGCTGTGTTTCAGTTCTTCACACATGTCACCAACGACTTGCCTCTGGCCACACGGGGGTGCCAGTTATATGACACCTTCACCCAACTAGCTCTTTAGACTGGACAGAAGCTAATGACAGGATGGTGGTCATCCTTATCTTCCTCGGAGCCTGGGCCTTGATGTCGGGCACTCTGGGAGGTGTGAGCCCAAGAGAACCACAGAAACCCAACCCTGCTCTTTAAAGGCTTGAGCCCTTGGCCACTGGGGGTCCACGATGATAAGTCTGTGGCCACAGCTCTGCCAGCCACCCCATCAACCACTTCCTCCATCCCCCCAATACACTTGGGTGTCCATTTAGTCAAGGAGGACCGTGCCCTTCACTGTGCCGGGGCCACAGGGGACCAAGAAAGAGATCCAGGACAGGAGCCAGGACCCTGCCTGCTGTAACCCACAGGACAATTCAAACGGGACTGTGGCATGAATGTGGAAAGCCCAGGGCACCCTGCCATTGTTCTACATCACTCAGCCCTGCTGGGAACCACCTGCCAGGAGACGCATGCTGGGGTGACTCTCAGATCCCGCGCTGTCCCCAGCCTGATGCTCATGTCCCACACGTAGTTCTCCAGATCTGCCACCAGACAGCCCATGAGCCAGCCTCCTACTCTCCCTTGTAGGTGGCAGGGGGCATTCAACTCTCAGTTAAATTGCTATTGTTGATAGCTCCCATCCAGTCAATTCTGACTCATTAAGAGCCTTTCGTTCCAGGAGTGGAGACCCTGGGGGTGCAAAGAGTTAACGTGCTTAGTTGCTAACAGAAAGGCTAGAGGTTCGAATCCACCCAGAGGAGCCTTGGAAGAAAGACCTGGCAGTCTACTTCTGAAAAATCAGCACAGAAAAGCCTATGGAGTTCCACTCTGACACACGAGGTCACCACAAGTAGGGGTCAATTCAACGGCATCTTTTTTTTTTTAATATTATTCCAGGAGTAGCTATGTGCCTGTGAGTCTTCCAGGCCAGTGCCCGTGAGGCACGTGGCTTACCTGGAATGCTGATGCCTGGGGACCTTGGCCCTGGTGTCCCTCTCTGCCCATGTCACAGGACAACGCCACCCTCCCTGTTGCCCCGTCCACAGTGGCGGTTCTCACCCTGGCTGCACTCGGAATCTCCTGGGGAGCTAAACAAGGTACGGATGCCTCCGCCCCACCCTCAGGGCTCTGATCTAATTGGTCTGGGGAAGGCCTGGGCACTGGGATTTTAAAAGCTGTGCAGGGGGTTTGCAGGAGCAGCCCCCCTCTATGGCTTCCATGCAGGCGACACTCTGGTCCTTCTCTGTGGAGGGCTGGGGGTCTGGTGGGTAGACCAGCACCGAACATGCTTCTACTTGAAGGGCAGGAAGTGAAAGTGCTCTGTGTGGACTCATGCCCGAGCACCCAGACCTGGCTCAGTCCACGTCTCCATCACCTGGAAAATGCAGGCTCCAGAGCCCGCCCAGCCCCTCGGAAGCCACACCCTCATTTGTTTGAAAGCTCCCCACAGCCTCTCATTAAGGATGGGTCTGGAAGCCCCTGCATCTCCAAGTGATTCCCACCACATCCTGCCGCGGAGAGAGGCTCTTCCAAGTCGGCCCCCTAGAAGGAGGGAGGGGTCCTATCCTTCTCCATCTTGCCCCAGCACAAGGCTGCTCCTGGCCTCACCCAGCCAGCCCTGTAGGGCCCTCAGACTGAGGCCATCAGCACGCGTTAACAAGGGCTCATTCTCTATGGTGGGAGCTGTCCTGTGCACTGCAGGGGGCTGAGCAGCACCCCTGGCCTCCACCCACTAGATGCTAGTAGGACCCACTCCCTAGTCGTGACAATCAAAACTGTCTCCTGACATTGCCACCTGTCCCTTGCAGGCAGAAGTGACCCAGGTGAGAATCACTGCTCAGGGGCAGTGGAGATCCTCAGCATGAGAACTGTGTGAAACCCCCCGCCCCTGGGCAATTCTCATGTGCAGCCAGGGTGGGGGGAAGGAAAAGTGGGAACCAGGAGTGAATTTTCATAACCCCATAAAATGGATAATCCTATTCCTGTTTTATAAACAAGGAAACTGAGGCTCTTAGCAGATAAGTCACCTTCCCAGGCTCACAGCCACGCAGCTGATTCCCAATCCAAGCTCCTGGGTGAGGCTGGGCTGCTGTCCAGAGAGACGGACTTGAAGTCAACAGACCCAGTTCTAATTGTGGTTCTGCCCCTGGGCTCTCAGCCACAGGGACCCTGGGGATGGTGCTGGGCTGCCTGCAGGTACCCGCAGTACCGCTGCACTGCCAGTGTGGCACCACCAGGGGGCGCTCTGACAAAGCCAGCCAGCCAGACCCAGAAGGGCTGGAATTTCATCCCCAGCCGAGGTCCCGGGCCTGAAATGCCACACAGTTCGGCCAACCTCATCATGACCCTGGAGTCCTCCATTCTGGCTGACTGAACGAGCTCTCAAATACTTCAGACAAATGTTAACCAGTTCGCCCTTGGGCTTTAATGGACCAAATCCACTTAAAGGGATAAAATCAGTAAAGACTCCATCTCGAATTCCTTCCTGCTGAGCCAGCGGAATGTTCCCGCGTCCCCACGCCCAGCTGCCTGCTCTGTGGTTGTCCTCAGTCGGGCATAACGAACGCTATGTGCTCAGTTCTGGCGCTGGACCCAGAGGAGCCCAATCCCAGCTCCACTAGCTTGGTGACCACCGACAGCTACTTAACTTCTCTGAGCCTCAGTTTCCCTTTCTGTACAGTGGGGACGACATTAGCTGCCGCCACACAGGAACGGTCACGGAGACGTCAGCACCGAGCACCCACCTGCCCCAGCTCAGTGATTAACTGCCGACTGTTTGACTAATGCAGCTGTTACTATTGTTGGCATCACCACGGTTTGACTCAGGAGCCAGACCACATCTGGAGCCACAGGAAGGGCCGGTGGAAGTCAGATGTGACCCCCATCGGGCGCTTCCTCTGTCTGGTGAGCTGCTGCAACCCGTGGTTAGCAGCATTGGGGTGCCCGCCTCCGGAGGACCCGAGCCTGGAGGATCGCTGTGATGCTGGGTAGTGGCCACCATGACGCCACGGCAGCCTCCCCCATCAGGGCAGGCAGACCCAGATGGCCAAGCAGGGCACAGGTCAACCCTGCCCCTCCCAGCAAGCAGGCCAGCGTGTTCAGACACTCTGTACCCCGGGCAGCATATGGCTACCCCAACTAGGGCAAACGCTGCCCGCATTCCCTCTGGGCCTTGGTCCACTGGCCCCACAGAGGGGAAGGGCAGAACACACAGGCTAAGGTTCCCGGCATCCAGCGGGCTGGGCCACTTGCCTGCCGAGGCTGCAGGGGGTGTGCCGTGGGCCTGGGGTGGACACCGAGCAGCAACACTGGGCCTCAGCCACCCCATACGCCCTAAGGCCACTCCCTGGGCCTACGAGGCATTCGCCTGGAGGCTATAGGGTACCCACAACTCCCAGGCCTCCCAGTAATAAGAGTATTACCGTATTTTTAGGCAAATATGCCTTTTTTTTTTGTATTTGTGTAACCGTCCCTGCTCCCTGCAAGGTATTTTCATAAGTGCGCTATGCTAATGTTTTTATTAAACAGCAACATGTAAAAACAATTGGCATGGCGGCGCTTACAAAAAATACCCCACGGGGGGAGGGAGCAGTTGGCAAAGAAACGTAGCAGGTGAGCGCTATTTGCATAAAAATACGGTAGTGCCCAGGACCCCTGGAAGCCTGGCCAGGGGCTCGGCCTTGCTCACAGGCCGGTGGGACCTGGCAGCAACCGTTTGGCCCTCAGTCGGGGATTGGAGTGGAGACCCCTGCCTTGGGCATGGTGGCGCAGCCCCTCTGCCGCCCTAGGGAGACCCGGGGCCAGCAAGCCAAATGGCAGGCCTTCTCAATGCCCCCAACACCCCAAGGCCAGGCCCGTGGGGCCCACTCAGGAGCCCCAGGCCAAACGCCAAGCAACTCACCTGCCTTCACTTTCCAGAAATACGGAGCTGCTGCTCTCAGCAAGTGCGGCGCTGATGGGCGAGAGGCAGAAGGGCGAGGAGAAGGCGTCGGAGTCGGAGTCAAAGGAGCTGTCCCTGCTCACGCCCTCGACCGACAGCTCCAGGGAGCCCTCCTCCTCTCCAGCCTCAGGCCGTGGCTCCCGACCCTCCTCGGTCCCATCCTGTGAGCTGACCATGGACAGGATGCCCGAGTCGCTGTGGGTGGGCTGCAAGGCCGGGAGGCCACCATCCACGCCCAGGTCTGGGGCCAGCTTCTCCCCGTCTTCCAACAAAGGGCTGCCGGGCACAGCGTCCCGGGTGCTCTGGGCCACCACCAGGATGTCCTCCTCATCCTTGGGGGTCAGGGCCGGCCTGGGCTCCGTGGGGGAGGCCTGACGGGGGGCCCCGGAGCTCTGGGTGCATCGGGCCCGTGGTCGGGGGGCCTTGCGCACAGGGGAGCTCTCGGGGGTGATGTAGCGCAGAGCTTCCTCGTCCTGCCTCTGGATCCGAGAGTTGGGGACCCACGCGAGGATGAGGGTGGCCCCCAGCAGCTCGTCCTTCTCCGTGTACAGGCACAAATACCCTGTGAGAGCCCAGAGGATGGTGGTTAGGGAGGGTGGCGGGCTGGCACGGACATGCCGGGCCCTCGGCTTGTCTCCAGTAGAGCCCCCGCCCTGTTTCGTGAATGCATCACAGGGGCAGACCGCGCGGGATCCTCCTGAGGGATCCATTCCAGCAGATCCGGGCCTGGGTCCCTGTGCAACACCCAGCACAGGGGTGGGGTAGGGAGGGGCCGCCCTTGTGTTCAGAGCCCCTGCCCCATCCCGTCCACAATCCCCACAATCCGACAGCCAAGTCCTGCCTGCTGTCCAGCCCCCACCCCTGGGTCAGCATTGTTAGGAGGGATGAAGGTGGAGACTTCTGTTCTATTTCACAAAAAGAAGACATCCAAGATGGCAGTGTTTGGACTTTTCCTGTCAGCCTGGGCCCTCTTGGAGTGTTTTTTGTTTTTTTGGTTTTTTTTTTTTGTTTGTTTCTTTTATTGCAGTTTTTGGAAGAAGGGGTCTTTATTTTTTTAACTGTTGTAGTTTAAGTGAAAGTTTACAATTCAAGTTAGTCTCTTATACAAAAATTTATACATACATTGTTACGTGACCCTAATTGCTCTCCCTATACTGTGACAGCACACTCCCCCTTTCCACCCTGGATCTCCCGTGTCCATTCAACCAGCTCCTGACCCTCTCTGCCTTCTCATCTCACCTCCAGACAGGAGCTGCCCATTTAGTCTCATGTATCTGCTTGATCTAAGAAGCACACTCTTCACGAGTATCATTTTATGTTCCATAGTCCAGTCTAATCTTTGTCTGAAGAGTTGGCCTTGGGGATCGTTTTCGTTCTGGGTTGACAGAGAATCTGGGGGCCATGCTTTCTGCGGTTCCTCCAGTCTCTTTCAGACCATTAAGTCTGGTCTTCTTACTAGAATTTGAGTTCTGCACCCTACCTTTCTCCTGCTCCATCAGGGACTCTCTGTTGTATTCTCTGTCAGGGAAGTCATTGGTGATATCTGGGCACCATCTAGTTCTTCTGGTCTCAGACTGATGGAGGCTCCAGTTTATGTGGCCCTTTCTGTCTCTTGGGCTAATATTTTCCTTGTGTCTATGATGTTCTTCATTCTCCTTTACTCTAGGTGGTTGGGACCAATTGATGCATCTTAGATGACCACTCGCTGGCTTTTAAGACCCCAGATGCCACTTACCAAAGTAGGGTGCAGAACATTTTCTTAATAACCTTTGTCATGCTAATGGACGTAGATGTCCCCTGAAAGCATGGTCCTCAGACCCCTGCCCCTGCTACTCTGTCCCTTGAAGTGGTTGTAGTCAGGGAACTTCTTAGCTTTGGTTCAGTCCAGTTGTGCTGACTTCCCCTGTAGTGTGTGCTGTCAGAAGGGGTCATTTTTTAAGGATGCTTGTTGAGTGCACGTATCACACCCTGGGTCACCGACAGACGGGACAGCGAGGTGTCCACGGCCAGTGGCGAGTCAGGTGTCAGTGACACCACGTCACCCAGTGGGCCCTCTGGGTTCCTGGGTGCTCCATTTGGGGGGGGGTGGCACTTCCTAATGCACAACTGAGCCATTCTGGGACACCCCGACTCCTGGGCCCGTCTCACCAAGCCCCCAGCCCGCCTCCTCTCTGCAGGAGTGGAGCGCCCTCCGCCACATCTCTCGGGGCCCTGGCTCGGGGGTGACCCCAGAACCTCCTTACTGCCACACCTGCTTCCAAAGAAGTCGGAGAGCCCAGGGCACATAAGCTAATTGTGTGTGAGCGTGACTTGAGTGTGAGGCCTTTGGGGTTTCGGCACCCTCAAATCACACAGCTTTGAGATCAGGAATCAAGCTCGAGAGCACTGCTCCCCTGGACCACCGCCCCCACCCCAAGTCATCCCCTCAGACTGCCACCTCGGGGCCATCACTCCCCAGCGCTCTCTGTCCGTCCCTCCACCTTCCACCCCTTCACAGGCAAGGAAGTGAGCACCAGAGAGGAAGTGAGACGAGCGAGGCCGTCCGCGCTCCAGACCCCGGCTCAGGCGGTGCCCCACTGACCTGGGTGGTGCTCGCCCAGCCCCTGCAGCCCCTCAGGCGGGTGCACGCAGACATTGTTCTTGGAGTAGACGACCTCGCCATCCAGGAAGGAGGGGCGTCCCGCGCAGTTGCCACCGGGGGTGAGCGTCAGGAGGTCCGAGGCTTTAGAGGAGGCCCGGCGGAGGAGGCGGCCCAGAGACATTGCCAGGGGCGTGTTTCCATCCTCCGCACACGTGGGTCCAGCTGGGGCACGTCAAGACCTGCTGGGGGCACAGAGAGGAGATGCACCTGGGTCCAAGACCATGGACTTGGGGTGGGCATGCCCAGGGCTGGACCATCTGCAGGACATCAGCAGGGACACGATGGAGGGTGGCTAACGAGGGGAAGGGTCCTGCTAGTGCAGGGCTCAGTGTAGAGCCAGCAGGACCCTCAGTCTCAGCACCCAGAGAACGGGGCCAGGCTGTTCTCTGTGGGGCGTGGGGGTGTCCTCAGCACTGTAGGATGTTTAGTAGCATCCCTGGACTCTGCCCACTAGATGCCAGTCCCATCTCCACTCTCCTTCTGACAACCAAAAATCCCTCTAGATACTGCCTAATGTCCCCTGGGGTGCAAAGTCACCTCCATTGAGAACCACTGGACTAGAGGAATCCTGTTCCCATCCCCATTGTTTGTTGCCATCAAGTCAACTCCGACTCATGTCGCCCCCGTGTATAACAGAACAAAACACCGCCAGTCCCGTGCCACCAGAGCAATCTCATAAAAACCTTCAGGCTTCCTCTTTGCTCAATTTTCAGCACTGTGTCCATGCAAATAAGCCTTTCCTTCCTGAACTTCTCACCTCCACTGCTGTGCTTCCTGGGGAATGTTCTGGTTCTCCTTTCCATCCTTCCCAGCCCTGCCTCTGCTTCCACCCACCCTATACGCTCTCTGCTTCCCAATGCCCAGCCTTGGCGTCCAAACACACTGATAGCTCCTATTAGCTAGGAACCGGTCATGTTTCACTGCGCACTGGCCACGTGTGGCCTCTGGCCTCCATATTGGGTGAGACGCAAATATTTGAAGGACTCAAGTTTACACGCAATTGTTTTAAAAAGTAAATTAGAAGCAAAAGGATTAGTATGCAGCATATATAAAGAACTCGCACAAATTCACTGCAAAAAGGAGCAATGTCCCAATAGACAAGTGGGGAATTCACAGAAGGAAACCAAAGAGCTAACAAACATTAAAAAGACACCCAGCCTCAGTAGCAATCTGGGAAATGAGAACCCAACACCCAATAGATTGAAAAAAAATTTTTTTAATTCTAAAAATATCACGTCAGAAAAGATATAGGGATACAGGAACTCTCACACACACTGGGTCTACCACGAGATAGAGGAGTGATTCGGCTGTATCTGCACCACTGAGGACACCCAACCCAAAAAGTCCACTTTCAGGAAATATCCTAGAGTCATTGTTCACACTGCAGGTTGTGGGTCAAGACCAGCTGCTATGGATTGAATTGTGTCCCCTCAAAAGTTATGTGGAAATCCTAACCCCCGTACCTGTAAATATGACTGTTTGGAAAGAGGGGTTTTGTTTTGTTATGTCAGAGTCCCTGGGTGGTGCAAACAGTTAAGCACACAGCTACTAACATAAAGATTGGGGGTTCAAACCCACCCAGAGGTACCTTGGAAGAAAGGCCTGGCAATCTGCTTCCAAAAGGTCACAGCCATGAAAACCCTATGGAACACAGTCTACTCTGCATACATGGGGCTGCTGTGAGTCAGAGTCCACCTGGTGGCAACTGTTTTCTTTTTTCTTTTTCAAGCGTTGCAAGGTCAGTTAATAAGGTGCATGCGAAAACCAATCCCCTTCCTCTAGAACATCGCTGTGCAACAGAAATACAATGTGGGCCACATCTGTCATTTTAAATTTTGTGGTAGCCACATGAAAAGGAATGAAAAGAAACAAGTGAAATTAACTTTCGTAATATATTTTATTTACCCTAATATATCCAAAATGTTATCATTTCAGCATGTAATCAGGATGAAAAAATCAGAAATGTGACGTTTTCTGTTTTTTACGTTTTCTGTTTTTTACGTCTTCAAAATCCGGTGTGCTTTGCGCTCCCAGCATGTCTCCTTTGGACCAGTCACGTTTCAGTGTGCAGTGGCCACGTGTGGCCCATGGCCTCTGTATCAGGTGAAACACAAGCAGGCTGGAGCCCACCTCCCCCACCTCCCCTTGAGCCTCAAATGGTATTACTTAGTGTGATCGTTCTAATCACCAGCCGTGACTGCAACAACTCTTGGCTGTTCCCCAAAATCGAACCCATCTTTCAGTGAAGATGTTTTGCTACCAGTGAAGATAATCAAAAGAATGTGCTGGAAGTTTTGAAGGGAATTGTAAGACAGAAGTGTGAAAAGCCCCAGACACCCTTTTAGCTCAGTGGTGAAGTCATTTCCGAGGTCCACCGTTCAGCCGGGGAGTGGACAGCCCCATAAAACCAAATGGGACTAATGAGGCACAGCAGTCCAGGGACAAGGGCCAGAAGGCAGAAGGGTCAGGAAAGCTGGTGATAGGGAACCCAAGGTTGAGTAAGGATAGTGTTGATGTGTTGTGAGGTTGTTAACCATTGTCATAGGGCAACATGGGTACTAACTGTTAAATGAGAAACTGTTTCATTCTGTAAGCCTTCATCTAAAGTGAGAATAGCAGCACAATTGGAAGAGCGTAGTCGATGTCACTGAACTGTGCATGTAGAAATTTTTGAAATGGTGTATCTTTGGCTATGTATATTTTCACCAAAAAAAAAAAAAAAAAAGGTCGAGACGGGAGAGGGTTGACATGTTGTGGGGTTGTTAACCAGTGTCATAAAACAATATGTGTACTACTGTTTCATGAGAAACTATTTGTTCTGTAAGCCTTCACCTGAAGTACAGTTAAAAAGAAAAAACAAAAAGTGTGAAAAGCATTTCCCTGGTATCATCAGACTTGAACCCTCACAGCCTGTCGATTCATACTAGAAGCGCAGTTTTACAAATGACAAAAGAGGTTCAGACAACCCAGAGTCTGTGGGTGGACTGTGAGCTTTTGTCTCCCCAGGCAGAGTTCTGGCTCCTACTCCACCCAGGCCCCTGAGTGGACAGGACAGTCCTGTCCCGTAACTGTCCTGTAAAGACAGCAATGCCTCTGACTAGTCAGGTCATGTCTGTTAAATGTTGTCGTTTGCCACTGAAGTGACGCTGACTCATGGCGATTGATGTGTGCACAGGAGAACTGTGCTCCATAGGGGTTTCAAGCCTGTGACATTTCAGAAGTGGATCTCCAGGCCTGTCTTCAGAGGCACCTCTGGGAGGGCCCGACTTTCCAAGCACTCAGTTAGCAGCTGAGCGCATTAACAAGCCAATCCAGTTGCCATTGAGTCGATTCTGACTCATAGTGACCGTATAGGACAGAGCAGAACTGCCCCACACGGCTTCCAAGGAGCGGCTGGTGGATTCAAACTGCCAACTTTTTTGGTTAGCGGCTGAGTTCTTAACCACTGTGCCACAGAGTCATAAAAACCACACTATTAATCCAAAAGTAGGAAAAAAAAGAGGAGGGAAATAAACGAAGAACAGCTGGAACATGTAAAAGACCTATAGAATGAAAACTACAAGACACTACTGCAAGAAACCAAAAGAGACCTGCATAAGTGGAAAAACATACCTTGCTCATGGATAGAAGACTCAACATTGTGAAAATGTCAATTCTACCCAAAGCGATCTGCAGATACAATGCAATCCCGATCCAAATTCCAGCAGCATTTTTTAAGGAGATGGAAGAACAAATCACCAACTTCATATGGAAAGGGAAGACGCCCTGGATAAGTAAAGCATCACTCAAGAAGAACAAAGTGGGAGGCCTCACACTACCCGATTTTAGAACCTACTATACAGTAGTCCAAACAGCCAGGAGGACATAACTATAATAAATATTTACACACCCAACGACAGGTTTTCCAACGCACATGGAACATTCTCCGGAATTGACTGTGGTCATATTAGGTCATATTAGGCCAAAAAGCAAGCCTTAACAGAATCCAAAGCATCGAAATATTACAAAACATCTTCTCTGACCATAAAGCCATAAAGGTAGAAATCAATAGCAGAAAAAGCAAGGAAAAAAATCAAACACTTGGAAACTGAACAACACCTTGCGCAAGCACTACTGAGTTAGACAAGAAATTAAGGATGGAATAAAGAAATTCATAATCAAATGACAATGAAAACACATCCTACCAGAACCTTTGGGACACAGCAAAAGAAGGGCTCAGAGGTCAGTTTATAGCAATAAATGCACACATCCAAAAAGAAGAAAGGGCCAAAATCAAAACATTAACCCTACTCAAACAAGTAAAAGAGAGCACCAAAAGAAGCCCTCAGCTGCCAGAAGAAAGGAAATAATAAGAATTAGAGCAGAATTAAATGAAATAGAGAATAGAAAAACAACTGAAAGAGTTAACAAGACCAAAAGCTGGTTCTTT